ATTTGTTCGTTGACACCTCTAATTTAGCTCTAAGCACATCAATTGGATCAAAAAAAAATAATTTCCCATTAAATCCTTTAATTTATTTTAGAAAAAAAAATTCATTTTTTTTCCGTTGAGCTGGTTTTTTTTATTGTTAAAATACAAATTGTACGGCGAAAAAAGCAACAAAGTGTTTGTTGGTTGAACAACATATGAGGCTGTGAGAATGAAAATGGCAATACAGGAATAAACATTCTGAAACGAAACATAAAACAGCAAACACGCAAAAGGGAATCATGAATGTTTTAGCAGCAGCAGCAGTGAACCGCGAGTATCGGTACGTGTGTGTAAATTCATGATTCGCTTCAACACAGCGCTCATTCAAGATTCACTTTTGAGAATTTTCTTTCTTAGCGGCTTAATATTCATAACGCACTGGCACTGGACTCAATGATGTCAACAATACAAATCAATGGTTCTAATTTGCGTTGGTATTGGTAGTCTCCACTGACACGGTACCAGCGTGCTATGAATATTTGCTGTTGTGCGAATAGCACAGATGCTCCCACTCTCTCTGATGCGTTGTGATTTTGCAATGTTTGTTTGTTGTCGCATTTCTTCTGTGTTATTTTCCATGCGCTACGGTTTCAGTGATGTTATCATTTCACTCATGTACATTCATTCTAATGCTGTTCGTTCATGTCAATGCCGTATAATAAGTGGAGCTCGTTTACGTGCTGAGACTTATGCACCCCTGTTATTCTTCGTCCAGAGAACTTAATATTTTTTACCATTTATGCGAGCATACTCTATTTTTTTCAAAAACCAATTTGTTCAATTGAAGTATCGGGCACCGCCAAATGTACAAATGATTAGTTCACCAATTTGAACAAACATTCAACAACCAAAGTCAGAAAAACATACTCCTGTTTATTGGTATTCAAAACTAACAAAATACATACTCTTGTTTAACGCAAATCAAGGTCTATGATTTGAAATAATATATTTTGTCTGGATTGAATTAAAACTACGGTGAGTTTGGAAATGAATAAATTTTTTTTTTTAACTGACTCATGAAACGAAAACATACAAATGCGCAACGTAACAAAAATAGAAAGAAAATTCTCAAAAGTGAATCTTGAATGGGCGCTGTGTTGAAGCAAATCATAAATTTACGCGCACGTACCGATACTAATGGTTCAATGCTGCTGCTCAAACATTCATGATTCACTTTTGCGTGTTTGCTGTTTTATGTTTCGTTTCAGAATGTTTATTCCTGTATTGCCATTTTCATTCTCACAGCCTCATATGGGTCGTCTGCAAATTATCTATAATGAGTGTTCTTCATTCAATGCAACTGCAAAATGAACAAAAAGCCAATTGGAATCGAAATAAAAGGGTGTGTGTGTGTGTGTGTAATTTCAGTTTTACATTTATTCCATTTTTAAATTCATACATAGTGATTTCTTCGTTTATTTTTACCTCAATTTTAATAATAAATTTTGTGTTGATGTTGTGTGTGTTTCTTTGTTGTTGTTGTTGTTTTTTTTTTTGCCTGGATGTGTTTTCAATCCATATTCAATTGTTTTTTTTTTATAACATATATCTGTATAAATAATGTGAATGTGTGGTTTATTTTCATTTTAAACTTAGTTTAGGTACTAAAACACATCGAAATTAATTTAATTAAATAAATACGTAATGCTTTTTTCTGTTCATTTCTTCTCAGCATTTGTTCATCGTTAAATTGTTGTTCTTTTTTTTTGTTTTCATTCTTTATATGTGTGGTTGCATAAACTTTAATTAATTTCTCCTGTTTTTTTTTTCTTTGTTCATGAAAAATCGATAAATGTTAGGTATTCTAAAGAGAAGATTCACTTGAAATGAAGTGGTGTGTGCTGTCAGTGTGTCGGTGTTTTTTGTTCTTTGTATTTATTTACATTTAGGAAATATGTATATATATATGCCTTAACAGATGACGAGCACACGGTGCGTGAAATATTCATTTTCTTTATTCACAATGTTAATTAGTTTGTAGAAAAAAGTGCTTGTTAGAAAAAAGTTACGACAGAGATCTTAGCTATTTGGACAAAGCAGAGATTATAGGCATGAAAAAAGCAGCCACCAAAAATAAAAATGCAAAACAAATCATGGTTTCGATCGAAATAATCGCAATTTCTATGGTTCCATATCAAAAAGTGTAGTAGCGTTTGTTTGTTTGTTTGTTTGTGTGTGTGTGTGTGTGTGTGTATTTAGTGTGTTGATTCGATTAAGTTTTATTTATTATTTAGTTAATGTTGACATCACTTTTGACTGTTTTTTTTTGTAGTTGTTGTTGTGAATCGCAAGCAATTCATCAATGATAGATGCTATCGATAGAAAAAATTCAAAGAATTGTCGTCGGCTTTTATTTTTCGTTTGCTCTTTTGATTTTTCGTTTTAATGCGAGGGATTTCATTTTACAAAGTGTGATTGCAGATTACAACGTTTTTTTTCTCCTTTTTTGTGCTGATGTTTTTCAGTTGCGCGTTTCACGTGTCAATGTGTTTTCGATTTTAATTTTCACGCATGTAGGTAGGTAGGTGTTCATCAATATATTCCTAACAATATCTTAGTTTATAGTTTCACAATTGCTTTTTTTACCATTTTAGTTTAAGATATTTTTAATTTGTTTTTTTTTTTTTTGCAATAATTTTCACTTCGAAAACATACGCATAAAAAAGAGTCGGTTGATGTTGCTGTCGTTTTGTTCAGCTTAATTTAAATTTTAATACGGTTTTCACGAGATTTCATCTATATTTTTTTTCATTCCTAGTTTGACTCAATGTTCTCTTTACATTCATTCGGCTATTGATTTATCATTATGTGTTCATTTTTTTTTGTATCGTCTTTAGTATTCGTTTTGTTGAGAAAATTATCATTTATTTACAATTCTATGCTTAAATGAATGTGGTTGCTCTAAGTCTGCCAAAAAATCGATTATTTTCATTATGTCTGATGCTGCTGCTCCTGTTGCTATGTCTAATGATTTGGAATTAAAAACCATATTAGAAAAATAGGAAGCGTATGTGATGGAAATAAAATTACTGCTTCGATCTAGCACAAAAAAATATCCACTTTTCTATCGACTGCATTATCTATCGTATTTCATCATATACTACATATCTGTTTCATATCTGCTTTGCATTTCAATTGGAGGAAAAAGTGCGCAAAAAAAATAATAATATTGCATGAACTACTGCCCACATGAACGTATTACTTGATATTCGGTCTGCGTATACCTTGCATTGGGTTTATTTCTCTCTATTGTTCTATTATTCTGTCCTGTTGTGATGCATTTTTAATTCTATTTGCCACACAATGAAGCTATTACACTCTGTGTTCTATTTATCCCATTTCTTCTCTCTCTCTTTTTTTTTCTGTGTAATTCAATGAAATATTCATATATGTGTATATATAAAAAGGGAAAACAATTACAACCGCACCGAACTGTTCTACACTTATTTTCAAAATCAAACGAGAGATGAAATTGATGGAAAGGAGGGATGAGGGGGAGGAGGGTGAAATGATAATAAACAGGCAAGAACACTATAAGCAAAAATTTATTCGAAATATACTACATTTAGCTTGATTTAGCTATTTCATTTTGGTGGATGCAGCCGTGTGTATGTGCTGCCGCCCGATCATATATTATGCGAATGAATATGTTTTAAACGTTTTTTTTAATCTCGAATTTTAAACACAAAATTTAATTTTTAGCCTTTGGTTTAGATAATGACTCAATTTGTCTGTTTGTTTCTTTCTTTTTTTTCTGTTGCTCTGTGTCTTCTCCAAATATGGGCCATGGGAGGGCATTTAATCAAATTAAATAAATAATAAATCAATTAAACAGCAAAAAAAAAACTACTTTTCTTCTCTTTAAAATCATCTTCCACGGGGCGGTTACATGGCGTTCCTTTATACTCTGACCATATTTGCTTGATAAAAATTGTGTGTGTTTTTTTAAATTTGGTTTTCACATTTAGAAAAATTAACAATCATGTAATTTTAAATATCCACTTCATTTTTTTTTTTTTTGATTTCTTACATTCTACGAACCTTCTCTATGTTTGCATCTTGCACATTTGATTTTTTTTTTCTGTTTTGGACCAATTCTTCTCAAAAAAATTTCGACGCTAATGTCTTCATTCCGGCAAAATAAATAAAACTACTTCGAAAAAAAAATATGATTCCCAAAATGGAAAAAAAAAATCTTTAAAAAAAAAGGAATTCCATGCGTATTTCACTTCTGTTTCTGTTGGAACGACTTTCAAATTCTGTGCTCCAATTTAAGTTGAAAAGTGTGTGCATTTGACTAAAATAATGACTTTTTTCCTCTAAATTTCCGCTTTTTCCCCCCTTTGTATCTAAATATTTCCGTGCATACACAACTAACTGATGGACGATTTTACAATTGATTTTTTTCTTTGTCTGTATATAATAAATATCTGGGGATAGAACAATATGTCCAAAGAAAAACCTTTGACCATTTTTCATTTCAATATAAATGTGTTCTCATTGTTTGTTGTTTTTATGGTTTTTTTTATTTTGCATCATTTGTTCTCTGTGAATTTGCGTTCAAAAAAGAAGAAAAAATTGATTCGATTGCCTTATGTTGTTGTTTTTAATTCTTTTGTTATGTGTAATTTATTGTAAAATCCATTTATTTCGTTCTTCCGTTCTTGTACGTAACAAATGCTAAAAATCCGAAGTACAATATCTATTTGTTGTTGTTGTTTCTTTTTAATTAGTTCTGTTTAAATAGTATTTAAATATATATTTATATATCATCAGGAACTGATCAAATTTATTTGTTAGTCGTTTGTTTGCTTTTTATCTGTTGCTGTTTTTTTTTCTTGTATATTTTGTAATAATACAGAGTTTGCTTTGTTGTTGTTTTTATTTCGTTTTTTCTTGTGCTTCGAATGTCTTCAGCGTGGAGTACAATGTTTTGTTTTTGTCTTAAAAATTCTCTCTTCTTTTTGGTGTAATGTTTTTTTTTCTCTCGTGTTTCTCTCGTTTCACTTGATTCCGTTTATTTGGCTACTCTTGTTTAATAATAAATTGGTTTTCTTCATGACGATTAATTTGTGTGAAATGAATGCAAACATATAAACGCTTAATACTTCAACATTTTTTTTCATTCTTTTTTCTTCTCTTTTTGGAATAAGTTCACTGATGCTATTTTCATGTTTCAATTAGTTTTCTACTTGAATCTTATTCATTTAGGTTCGTGATTTCATATATATTTATATATAAAATGTGCGTGAGAATTCATTGTTTAGCATATTAGTTTGTTCGTTCCTTGTCCCATTTCGACTTAATTGTTGTATGGTATCCGATTTGATCGCTTGGAATTTCCCCTTTGACGTTTTTATTTTTGTTCTTTGTTCTAATAATAAAGCTTTAATTTACATGATTTCAAGTGTCCAATTTTTTTTGTTAAATGAATTGGGAACTTGTTTCCATGATAGGTTTCCTTTTTTTTTAAATAATAATAACAATTTACTTGTTTCGGTATAAAAATCGTGGTATAAAAGACGTGTGCCGTAAGTGTGTGTGTGTTTTTTATTTTGTTCTTATCCGTTTTGTTGGAAGGGCTAAATTGCTGTGCGCGCTGCGAAATGCCGATTGGGTGGCAAGGATTTGCGAACAATAAATGATTCTCATGCGATATCTCTATTTCGAATAAAACCAGTAGAAAAAAAAACATATGCTACAATGACTCTATTGGCGGCGTTTGTTATGGGCTAAACAATACGAGTACCACCGCAACCATCGCCGCCAGAAGGAAACAATTTGCGTGAAGGAAACCGATGTACAAAATGCAAATGTCTGTATATGCGTGTGTATGTATGTGGTTGTTGCTGTTTTTTTTTTCTATCTCTATATCTGCGTTATGCCAGAAAATGAAAATAGCAATAAAAAAAAACACTATTGCCGCCCTAATCCTGTACTTCTCGATATGGAACTTCGGATGTGATCGTGAAACTTTCGAAATAGTGATTTAGGAATTCGAATGTTGGCCGCTTCTCGGGTACAGCATCCCAACATTGCAACATTAAATGGTAGATATCGTCTGGAAGATGATGGTTCGGTGGTTTTGGCATACGATAGCCACGTTCAATTTGCTCAATCACCTCACGGCTATGCATACCCGGATACGGTACTTGACCGTATGTAAACAATTCCATCAACAGGATACCATACGACCATACATCCGATTTGATTGAGAATTTACCGTAGATAATGGCTTCGGGTGCGGTCCATTTGACGGGGAAACGGGATCCTTGTTTCGGGCAATATTCATCGTCGGCAATGACCCGGGCCAAACCGAAATCACAAATTTTCGCCACATTATTTTCACCAATCAGCACATTACGGGCGGCCAAATCACGATGTATCAATTGCTTTGACTCCAAATACTCCATGCCGGATGCAATTTGAGCCGCAATATAAATTAAGTCTTCGAATTGGAGATTTTTACCATCACCTTCGCGCAAAAAGTCCAATAAACTACCTTTCGACATGTACTCTTGCACAATGTAAATTGGCTCCTCTTGCGAACACACCGCATACAATGCAACCAAACGATTGTGACGGAACTTTTTCATAATGGCCGCTTCCTGTAAGAATGCTTGCGTTGACATTGTACCTTCGCGCAATGTTTTCACAGCGACATCGATATTATTTCGCCATTTGCCATAGTATACTTCACCAAAATTGCCACGGCCCAATTTTCGAATCAATTGAATTTCGACACGTGGTATCTCCCATTTATCACGCAACTCCGGCCCAAGGTCCCACATCTGTGGCTGTGGCTTCGAACATGGCCGTGACAATATGTGACACAGGCCAAGTGCATTTTCTGAAACGGAAAGAAATTACGAAATTAAAAATCGGTTCATGGATTGAATGGCAAATAGAAGAGAATAGCCATGTAATTCGATGTGACGCGTCTATCAATTGTGTACTCACTGCTGTATGCTAACACCAATGCTTGCAGAGATGGGAACGTTTGATTTGTCGCAATGTAGTAGCCACCATTGTCCAATGGCTTAATTTTGTAGTGTTTTACATGATAGCCGCGGCCATCTTCCCAGTCTTTAACAGATAGTGAAAAACCGTTTGGATTGTGCTCCGATGGTCGAACCAAAAATGTTCCTCGTGGATTCTCTTCAGCTAATAACAATTTGTCGGCTTCTTTGCGTGACACATTCTCGAAGAACCAACTATTTGGCGAGAGAAGAAAAACGGAAGAAATTTTTGGCTTCTGGATTAGTAAGAGGGTAAATTAATCAAAATCAATGAAAATGGAACATAAACTGAAAACATACTCTTCACTATTGACGCTGCGCTCTTCAGCAACAAAATTCCATGGGATTAAACCCTCCTGTCGTGTAGTCAAGTGAATGACACGCCACCAATCCGATTCGGTGTCATCAAGCACTTCCATTCGGTCACCTTTCACAAAACTCACATCGGTATCCTCGCGTGCCGTATAATTATACAATGCAATCACCACACGCCGTTTCATATGACCTGCAAAATCTAAACAAAATTATTGAAGGTGTTCGCACAGTTATCGAGTTAAAGAAAGAAAGAAAGAAGAAAAAAAACCGACAATAAAATTCCGAAAATGGCATTAACTAAAATGGTAAATGTGAATGGCTTACGTGTTGGTCGAGTTCGGATGACATCGACTTTATTTGCGCGATTCGGATCGGGTGTGTATCTGTCTATTGAACCATTTGGGTACTTTTGTTGTGACATATTCGACAAATCATTATTCTTTTTGTTACCCGGATAACCGATATCCGGTTCTTGACGTTTACTGCAACACTTGTTTCCCATTTTGATGTGTGTGTGTGTGTGTGTTTGTCTCACTTCAATACTTTTGTTACTCAGTCAACTGCACAGGAACCAAATTGTAATGTCAAGTATACTCTAATATTCTAAATGGCAGCTCTACGATGACGCTATCAATGTCGATTCTTCCATTTTTATTTGCCGATTTCTGTAACGAACAAGAAACAAACAAACCAAAATTGAAATTCCAATTATTATCAAATGTTTTGTCATCGCTAAATATAATGGTTAAAACTATGAACTGTGTCTGTCGCCGAGGAGAAAATCATTTTCACTTGGCATTTTGGCATTGCAACATGCACAATGTGGTGTGTTGCAGTCAGATAAATAAATTCGTTTGTACTTGAAATATGGAGATTGGCATAGAATAAACAACAACAGCATCACATTAATTGTCCCAAGTGTAGAGTGTCTGGGAGAATTTGCATGTTTCTATTTTGTGAAAATTGGCAACGAGCACGTGCCACAACAAAAACTTTACACCAGCTAACAACCACTCAACTTTCACTCTAATTACTCTTTCTAATTTGCAATTTGTGTACATTTGCCGTCGTGTTTTTCTCTTAAGTCGATTATTTGATTTGCAAAAAAAAAAAAATAACAACGAGAAATTAAATGAGAAAAAAGAATTAAAAATAAAATACGATTCAATTTTCATGGGACCGTCTGCAAAGTACGATTGAAACGGTTGAAATGATGTTAGTCACTGGCAACATATTTTCAGATTAATTGCACACCATATTTGGCATTGGCTGGTCAATATCGAAATGTGATACATGCTACTTGACGTTCAGTAAACGAAACTCCATGTACTTTAATACGCTAGAAAAAGTCTTTCGAAATTTGGAATTTTGACAGACATCGACGTTTGGAAGGAAAAAAAAAACAACAACAAAACGTCCATCGAATCCGACGAGTCATTATGATTATCAAGTTCGGCCTCATTTGATTTATTAGCATGTTGTTAGGCGAAAGCAGAAAAAAAAGACGGCATTCAATCTGATTCATCTTATAAAGATTCATTCGTTGGACACAGAGCATCGTTCACTGTGCCGATGCTTTCATCTTCATCGTTTCGAAATGGACATGAAATAATCGAGTTAAGAGCACGCACAAAAAAATACATACAATGTTATAGAAGCATTTGATTTTTTTGCGTTAGCCTAGACGCTTTTTGTATGTGTGTGTGTGTGTGTGTATGTGTGTATGGCGAGTAAGCATCGTCGCAAGGAGCGACCGACGAAGATAAATGTGTTTTCAGCTTGGAAATTAAGTCGAAAAAATGATTGAAACAAAGCTTAACAAAGAACCTTTTTTTCCGTTCAGCTTGACGCAAGCATCGATTTCACATTTAGTGGATTTCACTTGGAATGGTTCACTTTGGTCCTTTGCTATTGTCGCAAATCGATTTGACTCCAGTCCAGTCTCCACGCCGGAGAATGGCGGAGAGCGAGAGAGAGCACAAGATAAATAATGTCAAAAGTAATAAATAAACTCTTTGTATAGACCGAAGGGCTTGCGACGCCTGAAATACGGCAATATTTTCATATATTTCTATTTTTCAGTCATATTCCGTCATATTTCAAATATTTGGAATATTTGATATATTTAAGGCATATTTAAGCCACATTTTGACGTTTTTTGGTTTTACCCGATATTATTTTGACTATATCTATATGAAATATTTCTCTAAATTTTCAAATATATGAAATATTTGAAATATAGCCAAATATGTCAAACATACGAAATATCAAGATGCATTTTGTAAACAAATAATGCTTCAATATTTGAAATATTTGACATTTTTGAATATATTTGAAGATATTTCATATATATTTGTTCGTCGCAAGCCCTTCGGTATAGACAGTTGACGTCTTCGAGTGAATCATTTGAAAATGCGGTGCGGCGAAAGAAGCGACACAGTATCCATTCAATTCACGGGATTACTTGCACAGAACGGAGCCTTGTTGCGCGCTTTAGGCACTCATGACTCTATCTCTCTCTCTCTCTCTCTGTCAATTTTTGCCAGTTCACTTTGTGGTCGCACGACCAAAAGAAAAACCACCACAAACGCAAACACTAATGTCAAATGCACAATTGATATTTTCTTAAGCTGCAAGCAATCGTTCGATTTGTATGCGATTTTCTTTCTGCTTGATTTCAACCTCTTTGAAATGATCAACCACTTAAGTTTCGCTATTTCCGACTAAGAGCATATTGATAGGCCATCACATCAACGACGATTCACGATTATTACACATTTTCTTATTGTAAAATTGCGGACGGGTGCAGGGCTAGATTACGATATATATCGTTCGTATATGTATTCGAAGCCAAAACAGCGGCAGCAGTAGTAGCAGTACGATAAACATAAACGTCATCTTATAGAAGGATAAGTAAATTATGAATCATAATGATGGCAATAAGTCATTCTCGTCATGCTACTAATATTATTGCCACACACACAAGATTCGGAGAAAATCTGCGTAATCGGAGCAGCAGACTGCGTCAGGAAGCAGATGACTAGTGAATGCTACTTGCTTGATGTGCCAACTCACATTTTGAATATTGAAATTCTTCAACTTGCGCGCACACACCATTATCCAATTTCAAATACGACGACACAGAAGAAAAAAAAAACACTGTATGTGTGTATGTTGCGCGATTTTTTATAACATCCATTTCAAACGCAACCGAAAATAAAACGACATAAGTACGTTGTTACTTATGTGATGTATTTGTGTGTAGCAAATTAAAATTTGTACTACATTTACAAATCAGATATATTTTCTCTTCAACTGCGTAGCATATTTCCTCTGAGACCTTTTGGCCTTCGACGTTTCGAAAAGTGATACAGCGGAATCATACATTTTGTACATGAAATTTTCGTTTTTATGCCATGGCAAAACTCTGGCGATATTATCAGATCCACATTTTTTCGTACTTCTTCTTCTTCTTCTGTTTCAAAGAAATCGTGAATTTACTTTGACTTATCTTCGTATTTTTTTAGTTTCGCCCTAATTTTTCATATGTATATTTTTTTTCATGTTTTTGTTCATACAATCTGAGCTGGAAATACATTTCGCATGAATTACAATTTTTTTTTAACGTAAACAATTATTGTGATAAAATGTTCGGTATTTTTCTTGAGAATGAAATCTACGAAAAAAAAAAATATGTTCAAATGTAAAATGTATGGGCATTTTTAACAAAAGTACGAAGAAAACAATTTCAAGATAATTTCAGGCAAATAAATAAATCACTCTCTTCAATAAATCAATTTTGATTTATTTTTACATTTCAATTTATTTTTTCCACATTTATTAACGATTTCATTTTCCGTGGAAAATTGGCATTAATTCCCATCATTTTGGGATAATCCGAACGCGTGTGCTCAATTGAGCCAAAGGAATGAAATGAAATGGATAGGATTTGGAACGCCCCCATTCTGTAATATTTAATAGCAATGATTTAAAAGTTTTGAGAACATTTCAAGTGAATTTGCAATCCATTATTATCAGAATCAGTGTACATCAAGTACGTGCGCGCGACAATCTGAATATAGAAATCGAAACAAAAGCCGAGAGAGTGTGAGAGAAGGAGAGAGAGAGAAGCAACCGGCCATTATCGATCAAATGTAATAAAAATTTGTTTTGAATGCGATGGTCATGCGTGTTTTGATGTGTCGCGTGATGAGTTGATTCCGCATCAATTTTTGTTGCCACAATTTGCAAACGAACAAATGACCATTACACGAGAAGTTATTATTATGGTTGATGTTAAACACCAAATGATGGGCGATTAGCGAAAAGAATAGTCCGCTTTCGTTTCACATTGCAGAACAAACATTTATTTTTCTTCGAAATAACTTTTTTCGCTCGTTTTTCTTCATCGCTATGTTTTTTAGCATTCATCGCTATGCGTTCAATTCGGTTAGATATTTGGACTCTGTCTTTTTCATTCATTCATTCATTCAGTGTTGTTGACATTTGATGACTCCGAAAAATAAAATATGTGCGTAGTATTGCAGGCGGCTTTGAGCCTCTCATAGTCTATGTGTGAGTGTGTGTATGTAAAGAGCGGCTCATCTGTATGTGTAATGGATAACATGGAGCAAAATCCAATTCGGTGGGTCGATTGAGTGCGTGCGTGCGACCGAAGATGAGGGGAGAAATCGATTCTTGTGCAAAACTGTTGAAATTATTTCCATTTTGGTATAATAATTTTGCTTTTTATTCGAATTCTATTTTTCAGTCAACAAAGTGTAAAGCGATTTTACCTCGAACATCCACATTGGTTTGCCAATCAATTTTCCGTTAGTATAATTAATTGATATCAACTCAATCATCGGGCAAGCAAAAAAAACACACATACACATATATAGTTGGGTTTTTTGTTTTGTTTCAATTGCACGAATTTTACATTGTAATTCAGAAAAAAAAAACAAGCGGTTGCAATCGGTTTTTTTCCCTTTCTTCTGTGTTCATTTGGATGTTATGCATTGCAACAACTCAATCGTAGAATTTCTCTTTGGGGCCCCGCGATTTATTTAACTAAAACATTTAAATTCCACCCGAGATGAACGCAACCAGGCGTCTCCGTTCTGTCTGTCTGTCGCAATTTTATGTGTGATAATGAAAATGCTATAGATTTCTGCATTTTTTATTTTATCTATTTTGGCTTTTCCTCACCTCCCCATCTCTCTCTCGTTCGCCCTTTTTTCTCTCTTGCATTCGCTTCGAGAGTATTAAACATGGAATGCGCATTTCAACTGCTTGTTCTTCTGATTGATGCTCGTTTCACTGGCGTTTGCTCCGGATTCCACACAACTCCCCGAACGATTCAATCTCAACGCAAGAGAATGTGCGAGAAAAAGAGTGTGTGAAAGAGAGAAAGGGAGAATGAAGCAGAGGCGGAGAGAAAGAGAGGAAGAGCGAAAGCAAGAGACTCGAAACTATAACGTGGAAAATGTTTCGTGCGATTGCCCCATGCGATGCTCATTCAACAGCATCCATATCACTTTGCATTTGCACTGGATTATGTCAATGTCAATATTTCACCTTTTTTCGCATCAATGTTTACACTCTTCTCGTTGTGTTTTTTTTTCCCGCTCGTAATACTCAATAGCTACACAGAAAAAGGACATAA